TGTTTTAACAGCTACAATCAGAAGGAGCTATTCCTTGAGCTGCATGAGAGATTTTTATCGAGCATAATAGATGGGATTCGATAATCCTGCAGCGAAAGCTTTGACAGAAGTTGCGGGATAGAATAGCTATTAGCCGTTGTGGCGTGGTTGCCCACAAACAATCCGATCCGTTCTATGTATCTCTCGTGCGGTATGATGCTCCAAATTTTCACTACATCGTCAAGGACACTCCAAGCCAAAAGTCGTCCTTGGTAGAAGATTGCCCTAGTGGGCCGTAGGGCTCTCCTGAATAATTCTAACATATTAATTTCCGACCAACTCACTATCAAAAAGTCAAAATCAGGCGTTGTCTAACATGTTAGAAAAAGTTTTCTCTGTTGTTCCTCTATTCCCAGGTGAATATTGATAGTGAATATGATAGATCAATTCTCGAAGTTGATATATTACACCGACTATTACTTGATGCAAAAATGATGGCCGTTTCGCAAATTCTCAGTTTGACGTGCTATATGCTATCACAGTTCATATCACTCATTATCGATTTTCAGTTTTCAGACAATTTTCAGTTTCGAATGTTCTGCAGAACTTTATAAATATGTATGATCAATGGTCTTTCAAATTACTCAATACTATTGGGCTCCTCGTTCACCTGTTTCTGATAGACATCCCCAAAGACTTGAAAAGGTGGTTGACGTTGAAGCAAAAGGTACATTTGTTCACTAATCGTAAAGGGTTTCACGATGACATCTGAGAACTGATTCCAGGATGTTACCGGTAAAGTGATAGTGATGACTGGGGGAGCTTCCGGACTGGGCAGAAAAATGGCGCAAATCTTCGCCATTGAGAAGCAAGCAAAGCTTATCATTATGGATATCAATTTTGTTAGTTCAACTATCTTTCTGAGAAGGCTCATTTTGCAGGTTTGATCTATTCAGGAAGGCGCTGAAGAAACGGTGTCTTCGATCGTAAACGAAGGTGGACAAGCTGAAGCCTATAGATGTGACATCCGAAAAGAAGATGAGTTGGAAAAAATAGCGTCAGAGATTCACGGCAAATACGGTCAGCGAAAGATTTTATTATTTGGAAAAATCAAACGAATTCTATCTTACAAGCGTCGGCCGTGCGCAAGAATGCCTGCCTTCAGTTCTTGAATATTTCAGATTTATTTCTATCTTTTGTCACTTTTTAATCCTCATAGTCTCATTCGTCCCACTTCTGTACGTTGCGGTCGGCGCACTTCGCTGACCTCTATATCTCGCGAACGTCCAATTACGTACGATTTTCATCATTCGCAACTATGAAATGCAAATATTGTCACATGGCTTTTTGATCTCGGACGTCGCGCTTTAGCAAAAAAATTTGCTTTCATATATGCATGCATTAGGTTGAACCGAAAGTTCGTTCGCACCATTTTC